TGGGTTTAGGGTCAGTGGTTAGGATTTGGGGTTAGGAGGTGGGGTTAGGGTTAGGGTTAGGGGTTAGAGGTTAGGATTAGGGTTTGGATTAGGATTAACGTTTGGATTAATTATAGACCCATTGTAACCCAATACTTTATTGCATACAATGGCATTACAACGCCAATAAATTATTGATTACAACGTGCGGAACGGCTGGCCTTTGATAGCACAAGCTATAGTTTTGTATGGCGATATTAATATGAATGTTGACTATTCTCGTTTTCAAACCATCCTTATTCGTCAAAACAAATTCTATAGAGCTATTTGTCATCATCCAAGGCAAGATATTTCATTTTTAACATCACTGAGTCTCTGACAGTGGATAAGTCGTTGTACGAGCCAGATCATGGAACCTTGCAGGCATTTTGGCAACGAACGCATGCGAAGCCGTGAGATGATGGCGTGACTTGCGTCAGCATGCATATATTTTAAACATTGGGTATCCGCAGGTAATTTTACTAGATACTTTTGACTAGTATATCGTTTTAATTTGCTGCTTGTAAACTTGGATTTATCATTCTGGGCATGGCATTTAATTAAGGTAGATTGCACAGCATGCAGAATACGAATTCAAAGTATATATATTAAATATACGAAAGCATGCAACACAGGATTTGAACATGAATGTAATGTTCTCAATTCAGATATAAGCGTAGACTGTAAACTCTCACTATCTCATCATGACTGCTGCATGGTATTTGTATAACGTGCCCTGAACATGGGTGCGTAAATATTTTGTTCTCGTTTAATCGCGTAACTGCATCATTGGCGTATTAAATCACCAAAAGCAAGCAAACGAAAAACTATTAATCAATGCACATTTATTCAAACGTTAGGTTGTTTGCTGTATGGTTACATCAACAATCTGAAACTTTAACATTTCCAGATATGAAAATTCTTCATTTTATAATGATCTGCTTACTTTGTGGCAACAAGCAGGCACGATATCAATATCATGTATACGATATCGACGGTATATCTTAATATCTGCAGTGCCAGTCACGCGATAATACAGCTCGCAAGTTAGTACATTTGTTAATTTTTACTAAACGCATGAGTTACTGTTGTTTTCTGCAACCAATTATACTAAATAACTACATTAGAAGTAAAATGACACAAAGTATTGGCGTGTGAGTATTTTGCGCACAGGTCATATTACTCATATGTAGGTCCTAAATCATGATTGCTTGCAAAATAGTTGTATATAAAGTGATGATGTATACTAACCGGCTATATTTCAATTCGCAAGTTTAACAATTTTATAAAATTCAAATAAATTATTAGCGATATACCAGTCAATAGTATATAATATATCGACTACAACGTGCTGCAGATTACCGATGTTCGACCAACATGCTATGCATGGCTTTGCGTACTGCGACTACTAGCTACCACGCGCGCATGCATGATATAACTTAATCCACTGTCAAAGACCCAGTAATGTTATAAACCTAACACCTTTTGATCCCGACGGTGGCAACTCGCCTACAAAATTTGTTTTGACGAATAAGAATGGTTTCAAAAAATGAAAAGTAGTCAACATTCATATTAATATCGTTGTACAAAACTATAGCTTGCGCTATCAAAGACACCTCAGAAGACTCAGAAGCACGCAATGACGTCGAAAAGTGAGGGTGCTGGCAAATCCGCGTCTGCATGGAAAATACTAAAATTTCTCCTTATCTTTACACAGTTGGAGCGAGATAATTTGCCAACTTTGTAATAATTAACATAAGATCGATCTTTTATTTAAAGCCAATTTGTTTTGGGGCTGGATTTCCACTTTAAGAGAACAAATTAAACTATAAAGCAAACAATACATCAGTATTTAAAACAAACGTACCAGCAATCTATCCTCCCTGGTCTCTTGGTGTGGAGCAAAAACAAACAAACTATTTATTTGCTTGCTAATCTCATTAATGATTTTTCGGTTTTGAATAATGTTTTTCACTTTTTCTCCGCAAATTTCCATCTTTCTACCGCAGTGCTCTACAGTAATTCGCCATACTTTTGAGTGGAATTAGGTTCCCACATGACACCATGTTACCATGAAGCATTCAAAGCCATGCGCACGCGATTATTGCGGAACTTTTGACTTAATACTAATACTTTCCTTTTCGCGGCTGCAAAGAGCCGAGCACAATTAGTGCCCTTGCCCTGGGCTTTCGCCGGAACGGCGCTTCGCACCGTTGGATGGGGGATAAGCCCTATATTTGGAGTGGCTAAGCCTCCCTTTTGGCACAGTTTTAAAGATTGGGGGCTTTAGCCCCTCCATACCGCAGGCTATGCTTTCAGGCATTAAATAAATGCTGTTGTTTACATATGCGCATGCAATTTTTAACAATTTATCAACTGTTGTAAGACAATCAGGAACCCCCGTTTCTATACCAACGCTACGAAAACATGCGTCAGTTTTCCACTTCAAACACACCGTACCGAGATGTACTGGAGAGCATGCAAAGATTGAAATTAAAAGAGGTTAATAATCCACGTACTTCCGGGTGTATTCGCGAATCAAAATGAAAAGTTCGTCGCAAGGCAACTTTTTGGCGTATTACGTTATAAGTATTAACCAATCAACATTCACTAAATTTTGAAATTTAAAAATGGTTTCGATACGCTTCGGTAAGGTAAGCTTGAAGTGGAAAACTGGCTATATATCGTTCCGTGCACGCCCTTCTTTTTTCGCGCCGCCCTTAATTAGAAGGTCAGCTTGCAGACTGGTAGTATTGCAAATATTAGGGAGTCATTCATTTGAAGATCAAGCATTTCCCTGTGTTCACAAATCACTCCTAAAAGGCCTATATCACTGAAGAATAAAGATATCGAAAGACTTAGAAAGTCTCATAAATACGCAAATTATGTTAAAATTATTTTTTCCAGCACCTGGGGAAACGTCTTGTAATGACATCAAAATGATCAAGAAGGGATGTTTCTTTGATCGTGAAAGAGGACAAAGAACTCTGCCAATTCAGCTTCATGCATACCATGTGGACATTGATTGGAATGAGGGCTGGCATGATTTTCTATATAATACAACGTGCCAGTAAGTTTATCTGTTTGATTTGTTGTAGTCTCTTTGATTTTGAAGTTTATCTCTTCGATTTATTATAAGCTGCGTCAGTCACATACATTGTCTTTTGCATGTGATCTATACAGGGTGTTTTTCACAATGTAAATTATTCTCAGTAAAATCACTTTAGTTGACTTTTTCAAAGCCTGTTTTAATGACTGTCTACATGGCAAGTAATAACTGCACCGGAGAAAATTGAGTAAAACCCATCATTTAAAGATGCTGTACAACTAAGGATATTTACTAACATGATATTATTTTCATAGGGGGTTTGAAATGTTTGAATTTTCTTGTTCACTGAACTTTAGTTAATTACTTTTTGCTGCTTCTTACACAAAAAACACAGTTAAATTCAAAACAATTTAACATGTTTCGTCAAAAACATTTTGGGCGCTCAGGTTGTTTTATCTATTTCATACTCCTAAAACCAATAAAATAACCTCCTTAAAATAATGTTAGCCTACGTTAAGCAACCACTCGAATTAGAAACGTCACCGCGATTTGCGCAGTTAATGATCATGGTAGTAAAGGGTATTTTCCTTAGTCGTGAATTCCCAATATTGTTCTGCATGGTGAAATGTGAAACCGCGGATTTTTGTCTGGTGAAACTTGATCATTTTCGTTAAATGATTATTTTTTACATTCGAAACGTGAAAAGCTGTACTTGCAAATTAGTCTTGCGGAACTGCAAGTTGCCGAAATATCTCATGTTTTTTTTTCGTTAATTGAACAATACAGTTATTTTAATTTAGTATCGATTTTTATTACATCTCAGACTTTGGAGTCACTTAAAAATAATATCACTTCGAAACCAATTAGCCTTTCTCACGATGACGAATATGCGCCATTTTTGGGTGGCATCCAATTCTCGTTAACCAATGCAAGCAATTAAAACAATGTGAAAAGCAATTTCTCAAGATAAACCATCATACGTTTAAAAAATGATAAAATTCGCTGTTATGTGGACTTAACTCGTAGACTCCGACTGAGATGCCACCCGAAAATGGCGGAGTATGAAAGGCTAATTGATTATATTTAAAAAGATATCTAGCGTTGATAAAGTGAATGGCAACGCTTTAAAATGAATCTTTACCGGAATAGTGTACTTAATCAGTTCAAGGTCTCCGATATATATTTTTTAAATTTGGTCCTTATCAAAAGGAATGAAAATAATTTTTGAAGAAAATGGCAAACGTGCCCATGAAGTTTTATACTGATGATTTGTGTTCTTCATAAACATAAAGCACTCGAATTCATCTATAGCGGAACAAAATATATATGTCAGGCAAAATTCCTGTAAAATGGCCGAATCAATATTCCCTCAATTGATCTGGGCTTCGGTCTCTATAAGAACTTTACAGGAAACGAAATCTTGATTATGGGCCGACAAATCATCACAAGAATGCCTTTCTAAAAGGATTGAAAAAATTATTAATGGCACATGAGAATCGTTTAATTTAAAACATGTTAAGCATAAATTAACTTAAATAAGTAAAAAAAGCATTAACGAAGCAAAAAGCCAGACGAACTTAAATAGCTGCATGCCATAATTATAGAAAAAACTAATTACTTAAGTCGTACTTAATTCATGATTTATTATATAATTTATTAAAACAACTTCCTTATTTTTTCATTTAGTTCACACCACGCCGTTACAAGAAATAGGATGTTATTACAGTGGCGTAGGGAGCCCAACAATTTAGTCCCGTCATTCAAATTTAGAATTATTATCATTATTCATTTTTTTAGATATTAATTGCTTTTCACAGTCAATGAACATAAAAATAATTGCATAGCGGGACTAAATCGTCGGGCTGGCTACGCTATACTGGTACTTGCAAAAAATTATCTATATCTGTTTTTTGCTGTACGTTTTCCAGTTGCTTGAACATGGCAAAACTTGGTGGTTATCGATTCTTTGCCGTGACCGATTTTCGAGAATGTTGGGCTGGAGAACTAACATCAGATTATTTTGTCAGCCATGCTAAAACTAACGAATGCTGGGGAGCGAGACCGAACTATAAAGAATGTAACGATGATGCAGAAACAAAATGCGTCGGCCGTCCTTATCACAATTACATTTATGAAATTATTTCAGGTATATGAGTAACATGTTTCTGATTTTTTTCCTTTTAGTGAGTTTAACATGCTAAATAGCCCATTTGCCTATACTGTTCCACACTTGGTTAACACATTTATGAATTTCATTTTAATTATATTCACTCTTCGCCTGACTATACAGTGTGTCCCAAAAAAGTCTACGCTTTGAAGTCAAGCGCTAGTGTCGCATGTTCGAATTTGAATGCTTTAACTCCCTAATGAGCCCTGGAATGCGTAAAACGTTATACATGTGTATTCATGCATTCCATTCTGTGTTATTCTAGCCGAACAAATTTCAAAGAATTTGCAATGCATGCACAAAAATGCTCTGCTATAACGTTTTACGCATTCCAGGGCTTATTAGGGAGATAAAGCATTCAAATTCGAACATGCGGCTTGACTTCAAAGGGTAGCTTTTTTTTGTGACACTGTATATGCGCACGTAATTAAGCTGGCTCGCTACAGTTTATAGAAATGTTGAAAATGCGTAAACTAGATCACCTTTTTGAAGAGATGATGCTCTTTACAAATCGAAATTTGTATATTTATATACAGTGACAATCAAACAGTCAAAAATTGCTCAGAAAAGTGACGTCACCACTGTTGCTATGGTAACAATGACGATTGAAGATGGCCAATATTTTGGCTTTGAACGCATTTTAGTTTAAAATATGGTCTGTTACCCCCATTTTTTATTTCAGAAAACATTTTCTTATAGTACAATACACTATCTGACCAATTTTAAAAAATTCTGTAATGCCAAATTTTTTAAAAAGTTATAAACATGGTTTTTCGAAATAATTTTTTTTTAAATTGGTCAGATGGTGCATTGTACTATAAGAAAATGTTTTCTAAAATAAAAAATGGAGTAACAGACCTTCTTTAGAAGTAAAATGCGTTCAAACCAAAATATCGGTCATCTTGAATCGTCATTGTTGCCATAGCAACAGTGGGGACGTCACTTTTCTGACCAATTTTCGACTATTTGATTGTCGCTGTATATAAAATTAACAAATTTCGATTTGTAAAGGGCATCATCTCTTCAAAAAGGTGATCTAGTTTACGCATTTTCAACATTTCTATAAACTGTAGCGAGCCACCTTAAGACATGGGCAATCACCACATTCAACAAGATCCTTTTCAACTATAGTCATTCGTCAAGCCAAAGTTTGGTTAGTTGATATACATCTAGAAGGTTGTTCACATTAGCCGGGACATCTTTTTTCCGATCATAAACGATCGTTTGAAAGAAATTTACTGTTACAATTAAGAATCGAACTGGGAAGAAATCGGAGTACCCGGAGAAAACCTCTGATCTTCGGCTGAGGGTTAACTGACTCTTTTCACATGCGTAACTCCGCAGCAAGAATTTCACGTAATATTCTCGGAGATGAAAGGCGCAACCTCTGACAACTACTGTACACCACCGAATCTCCCCTCTAGGATACGCGAGGACTAAATAAATTTAAAAATACATGGTCAATAAATTAATATCAATATATCCATGCGTTTGATTGCAGCAAATCAATTTTATGTGTAAACAAACCATGCTCAATGGAAAATCGCAATTTTTGAAACTCATCCCGAGATATAGAATTAATCAGCTCTAAAATTTCGGCATTTTCTTGATTTTTGGTCTCTTAATTTTCGAGAGCTAATTTAACTCCGGTGGAATTATTTTCATTTTTGAACCTAATTTTAATCCTAATTATCCTCCACATACTGTACCTCCATCGGAGTTAAAATTAACTCTTTGAAATTAGCAGTGTAGCTTGGCGCTATTCTGCAGGCGTGTTCCCCGTGACGTATAAGTCTGCTTTTCTATACTATAATTAATATTTCATAATATGCATGTTACTTTATTACCCTGAATGCAACGTTCGAATGGTTTTTGCTTGCGCGAGGGTTGATTTGCATTTGGTCCAACATTAACAAATAGTTTGTTTGTAATATATAGTAAGATCGACTTTAGTCACAACCAGCTAGCACATTCACTGATCTGATTTTAGACTTTTCACGAACTAAATATACATCTTTTTGTCCCAATAGGTGTTTATCGATCAACTACAGAAAGTATATTAGTTGGGCAGATAGAAGGAAAAAAACTTACTATATCGTGGGACAATTCCATTTTGCCTTCATATTGTGCCCTGGAGTCTAGTAAGTACGTTTCTGTATGTTGGCCGCGTTAAAATTTCTTGTGGACTCCTGCCGATACGTTTTTCTTCGAATTTTGTATTAAACTCTATTATAGCTAACAATTTAATATTACAATTAGAAAATGTGAAATTTCAAATACATGTCTAACACAAATGACTTACATCATTTGAAAGCTTCCAAAAAACTACACTTAAACTTAAACTTAAACGGTTACCCTAGTTTTTCAAGTTCTTCTTGAGTTATGAGCTGTTGAATGTGTGTGTTTCAGACTAGTACCCAGGAATTTTGCCAGATTTTGGCTTATTTTTCACATTTGAAACGGAAAAAACTCGAAAACCGCTTGAAAATCCCAACTAACCATTTAAATGCCTTATATGTAGTTTTGTATTAGCTTTCTATTGATGCAAGTCATTTGTATTAGAATTGTATCAGCAATTTTACACTTTTTAACTGTAATAGAGTTTAATACTAGAAAATACATGCATGCAGAAACCCTCGCCTTGCTGACAAAACCATTGTATTTTCCGAACATGAAGTATCTGAAGTAGTTGTCATGGTAACACGATAATTTTTTAAGAATATTCTTACAAATAAAAATCGCCTAAAAAATATCACTTTTAATTACAAAATTATTAATTTCCCAACATATATATGTTAGGTATGTTATTATACGTAATATAAGCCTCAATTTAAGGTGGCTCGATACAGTTTTCGAAAATTCAGGTGTTTAACACTTTGACATGTTCAAACTACGTATTTTTAGGATTTATTCAACAGATATTGTTTTTTTTATATATTTTGGTAACTTTACTTTCAAATTATATTAGTTTTAGTAACAGATAGTTCGTTGCTATGACGACATACGTGTACGAAATTCACTCCAAAATGGCCTATCGTCTCGTATAGTTGGAAAAAAAGCATGGTGACCCCCAATTTTTTTTCGTGCATTATGTTACTTCGACGAAAAGCTAACATTTAGCAAAATATAAAAAAATTCTGTAATGCCATTTTTTTGGAAAATGCGAAAATGTCATATTCTTCAATAACATTTTTTTGGCATTACAGAATTTTTTTATTTTTTGTATAATGAAAGTTTTTAGCGGTGCAATAGAGCATGCAAAATTTGAACATAGGTCACCAGACAAAATAAAGAGATATAGCGCATTGTTTTTCTAAAATGGAAAATTCTAATGACGTCAGCAATTGTCATAAAACGCTATAGAACACACGCAATGGCGTGATATGGCGCAAGCAACTGCTCACGTCAGGTCATTTTGGAAGTTCTTTCATTTTGTTAATCAGTTTCCGCGACCCGCGCGTAAAAATGGTTACCTGGTTTTGAGTTCGCGATTCTTGAGCAGGGTTTTTGTGATAACTATATCGAGCCACCTTAAGGTAAAATTCAACCACAAACGCTTCGCAAAACGTTTTAAAGTCACTAGTGTTCTTTTAATATAAAACGAAACTGCCTTTTAAAATGGCTTTATCGATAAACTTTGAGTTTGCAATAAAATAATTTCAAATTCTCACTTGCAAATAACTCTGCTTTCTTTTTATTTAAAAAATTCAATATCATAAAAAAGGGAATCAATATTACTAAAGATACACTGAAATTACATGCTGTCTTGTTTAGTTGTTTCAGGGTTTTAAATTAAAGCCATTAGGTATTATAAAATCAATATTTAAAACAAACTTACCTTCGTTAACGTCGGCTCACTTCTTTTTGCCGATTCTTTCGCCCTTTCTTTCTTGAAATTTACAAAATCTTGCAAAAATGCCAGGAAAAATTAAATATATTTGCAAGAAATTTAGAAATCATCAAATCAAGAAATGTTTGCTATTTCGCTGTCGTCATGCAGTCGTTATAATGCAAACTTTAAATTGGACCAATCAGTTTTCGCTATTCATGACAGTCCGCCACATATTTTGAGATCAGTGAGGATGACCACCCACCGAAACATCGTTGGTGAGCCACGCCCGCGATATTTGATGAACTTTAGACTTCGCTAATGCTTTCGTTTCCCCGGGTGTAAATAGCCGGGGGGAATTAGTACCCTCGCACGGCGCTTCGCGCCGTCGGCTCGGGGACAACATTCGAGGGAAAACGTGTCGGCAGGAGCCCACAAGAAATTTTAACGCGGCTAACATACAGAAACGTACTTACTAGCCTTCAGGGTACAATTTGAAGGCAGAATGAAATTGTCCCACGATAAAGTAAGTTTTCCATAATTTTGATCCTCTATCTGCCTGACTATAATAATATTTATAATGCGTTTTTCAAAATTATGTTAATTCCCAATTCCTATTTTCCGTCTTTACAGAATGAAATTCCATGGACCGTAAAGCGCAGTAATTTATTAGAAGATGAACATATATAAGTACTTAAAGTCTAGTTCCTGAGGATGTAGTTGATGTTAAGCAATGAAGACAAATTATTAAACTTTATAAATCGTAATTCGTCTTGAAATGTTTGAAAATAATTAATGCATGAGTCTTGTGAAAATGTTTGAAAATAATTAATGCATGAGTTTTGCCATCCGCATGCATCCACATGCATGAGGAACCAGGCTTTCTGTGCAGTTTGCATCCAGTCTTTGCCCATGCCAGCCCAAAATTAACCCTGCCTTAAAGTGAGGAAGGGAAAAAATGCGCTTCTTCCTAGTACCTTCTTGACATGCAGGCTGATGGGAATATAGCCCGCCAACATTGGGTAATATAGATATAAAACATTTCTAAAAAGTTGCATGATAGTTTTCCCCTGACTGTTTATTTGTTTACTTTTCAAATTATTTTTTTACTGTCCCCAACTCACAGCGGATAAAACGCTTGAATATATTCATTTTTTCCTTGTCCAATCAGATCTGAATTGCTCAACAATTTTCAATTTTTTCCCACACATGAAGTAAGACGCGGATGTATTTGATTTATACATGTCAATTCTGGACGGCCATACCGATTTTACTCGAAAGATTTTGCGATCCATTCTTTCCCTTCATCCCTATATTAAGAAAGGGTTAGGGCTATCGCGGGCCAAGGCTGGATACGGGCTATACATGCACAGAACTTAATTCGGTTACCTGTTATAGAAAATTCGCCGCAGATATAGATGCCGAAGATAGATCACTTAGAAATTATTCTTAAACTAAATAGCATTATAGCTTTGCGTTTATTACTTAAACGTGACTGAAACAACTATCGATGTCGCTGCTGTACAAGTTAACGTTGATGGAACCTCGTTAGTAAGGCGCGATTGAGTTTACCAGATCTGGGGGGAGGGGTATATATATATATGTATATATATATATATATATATATATATATATATATATATATATATATATATATATATATATATATATATATATATATCGCATACTCGCTTTAAAATATTAGCTGAGTTGCTTCCAAACACTGGCTCTACTTAAGGCCCGTAAAGTCATCGTACTTGGTTACTAGTGCCTTATCGTCTGGACCGCAGTTGATCGCCCAACACAACATCATGATATAGCGTTAATCACTTAGCAATAAAACTTGACCTTGCCCTTCCCCCTTACGAAGTGCAGGGACTTTTCTTGCGCGTGAACTTAATAAAAGCCCAGTGACCACAATTCGCTGAATTGTTCATTTAATAATGTGGAACGAAGAAAACAACAGGCAGTCAATAAAGATGACTTTGGAAAGTGGTTATAGCTGACTTTAATTGGACATCACTGTAGTATATTATGCGAACAGAAATTGGTCATTTTTCAAAATGTTTTAAAACCAGGATCAGATTTTTTATTCCCCTAGCTCTAAACAGTGAAACCCCATGACAAAGCAACATAACGAAGCCCAACTGGATAACACCAGAGTTTAAGAAGACTATTCTAAACAGGAAAAAGCTTACCATGATGGGAAAGCTGAACAGTACCGCCGCCTCCATAATCTTGCAAACCGACAATGGGCGAAAATTATAACTGTCTATATACTTCTAGAAAATCCATGATGTATCTGCTGAAATCAAATCTCAACCTTAAGAGGTGGTGCATGGGAATACATTACACCCGTTTTCAAAATTACGCGACCTCCTTGAAAAATAGTCGACTTCAAATGTCTGTTTTATGCCACAAGGACTGCTAAATATAACAAACGTAAACAAAAGACATTTTAAACCGTATTTAGTACCAAGTTAGTTAACAAGAAAGAGCTAGATTTACAAGTTAAAAGAAACTGAAAACTATCACCGCATAAATCTGTGTCGTGAATGAATTTTAAATTTCGAAATAGAACAATTTATCGTCGAATAATCGAATTTAACTGTGCATCAAACCCGTTTGCGCTAGACTATAGAGGTAATAATTTTGTTGTGTTTAATTTTTGCAATGAGCCTAATTTTCACGATGATTTTATTAATGGAACATATACATCATCTCAAATAAAATTATTGATACCTATCAATTAAAGAAGATGGTGTATGGAACGAATTGAAACCGGATATAAAAAACATTACTTATTATAACACATTCAAAAAACAAACTGAAGTATTTTCGAATTAAAATATCGATTGACAGATGCACCAAACCAACTAAAACATATACTAAATGATTTGAAATGATAGCATGTAAACATTTCAAGTGTATTTTATGTAGTAAATATTATAAATGAAGTACTTTAATTTTTGAAAAATACGTTGTCTAAGTCAAGAAAATCAGAGTTAAAGTTTATATAAATCAAGGAAAATCTCTACCCTATGTAAAGTTACGACAAGCTTATAATTTTTCTTTGTGTTCTCCTCGTTAATTATTAATGAGTTTTTGAAGACAAACTAAAACATATAAATCATTTGAAATTATAGTATCTTGGAATGATGCATTTGAAGTTTTCAAATGTATATACAGCGGACAATGTCTCAGCGTATCCTAGCTAGCATTTTTATCTTAAATTCGTATTGTATTAAATATCAACAACTCTACACTTCTCTTCTTTTCTAAATATTATATAAAACCATTCCTTTCCTTTATTGACCTGACTGTATCAAGAAATATTATCAGTATGTAATATATAGCCTACTGACCATATATCTAGAGATCTAAATCAAATTATTGTTATAAGGTTTTTAAATTGGTCTTTAGCCCTTATATCACGTGTAAATAATGTATTAGATCTTGATTGTTTGATTTTAATGTAATCCTGTACATAAGGAAAATAATAAGTAAATAAAATAAATAAAGAAATAAAGAAAATTTTCAAAACAGTAATAGACTTTCCGCTAATAAAAATGTCAGGACATAGAAGTAATTGGTGTAATTTAGACCTGGCTGCGCTGATTTTGGTAACTTTGTTAGAGCATGCAGCTGAAAATTTATCTGCATGGGTATAATCGACTTTGACACCTCCCGAGGGGCAAATTATTCCAAGGGTTCAAGTAGATTTTGTCTGATTGGGCGGTTAAAGTGTGATGTTGTAGTAGACAGTACACTTCTTAAGGAGAGTATATATACACTTCTTATGCTTTTCCAGACAATATGTACTGAATGTACATGCAGTATGTCAGTGCAACTGAATGTCTCAGTTCTAATGCCGGATGTCCAATTTCTTGTTGAATTCACAGTTATCACTTGCTGCATTTTCGGAAACGATCGCATGCAGTGCAATTGAAATTCGTTTAGGTCTGATCACCTCGTTAAAGCATTCGGGAATTTCTTTTCTCGCCATGCAAAGATCTTTGAATTAGCAAAGGAATTAAATAAGACTATGGTGTTTCCGACCAAGGCAAAAATGTGTAAAGAAAGCGAACATTTATAAGGTAGAAAGATTGGTAAATTGCCACGATTGATTGATTGGCGTGTAAAGCCCATTCTCCACTAGGCGAATTTTATCGCACGAAGCGAAAAACAAGTCTTGGCAATGTGAAAGTCAGCGAAAAAGTTGGATCAGTTCCTACGTTTTTACTATTTGCGCGAACAAATTCGCCTAGTTGACAACGGGCTTAACACTGGTATTCAATCGAGTGTGATACCTAAAAAATCTTAACATTTGCACACAACCTATACACATGGCAGCGACGTGGTATATACATGAATTTGTGGATGGAGCTTGACAACTCTTGACCTATGCATAGCTCTATTAGTTAGACCGCTGCACCGGAATCGCAGGTTCAAATCCTACCTAAAGTTGCATTTGTTGCTTCCGTATCCTGGTCAAGTCTAATAAATGTTTCTAAATTTCCACTCAATATTTTCCATTTGCAATGTCCTTCGGCTGGTATTCAATTGAGGGTAATGCCAACAAAATATTGATAGCTTTGCTTAATATAATATCGCTTTAAAATTTAAACATCAGAAAGTTGACTTTTTATTACCTTCTTCAGTTTTTGTTTCAGAAAGGAAATTAAAATGAACAAGACGCTCTATTGAGCGTTAATCGCTAGGGCTATTGTATATTACGCTGCATGTGATTGAGATTAAGACTGCTATTTGTTTGTTAAGTTTATGTGTTCATACAATGAAATTGTTTTTGTCAAAAATGGAATTCAAGGAAAAATTAAAACAAAGTTCATCAAACAAGTCCCCGACTATAGACGATAAACAAATTTGTCTAAGTTTGGTTATATCCAATTCACAACTTTACATAAGTCACATGCCTAAGTATCATTGTTAGTAGTGTACTAAAGCATAGAGTAGAACAAAGTCAAAGATAACTAAGCTTTAGAATTATCTAGCTACATGAATGAATGGATGACTTTTATAGTGTATAGGGCTTATCAAATGCTTGTTACCTCTGTTCTATTCTATGTGTGTACTACTGTAGAACACTAACTAGGCGTGAATATTTAAGGTTGTGAATTGCATAGCAACAATGAAACTAACTCTGCCAAATCTATCTATTATACAAATTAATATGTTCTGTGTGTTTGAATTGTACAATACCTATTGTGAGATAACAGCTGTCCTAAGAGCTTTTAAAACATCATTTGGCAGCAAGGCAGCAAGCTCTATTAAACCCTTGCCCGATTAAGCAGATTGTATTTACATCCAAATAAACAGGAACTTGCGAATATTATTGCTGCAATTTACGAAGTTCCAACTTTGTGAAAATTGTGAACTTTCGTCGTCTATTTCAGGTTTCCAGCCTTCCAAGTTTACTCATATAAGATGACTTTCGGTTTATATAGTCTGGCTGATGGGAAAGCTATTAAGTTTCATTGAAAATTTTATTTTAATTAAATTTTATTTCCAAATACGCTCCCAAGTAAGCGGCCATCTTGAATCCAGCGACTGAAAGTAATGACGTAATGTTTGACAAAAAATGACGTAGGTCATTTTGTGACTAACAATCCGCGATGAAGCCGAAACCTATAGTCGCTGGAGGCACAGAGTGCCTCAGCGACTAATCAGCATTCAACATGTGGAAATTATCACCATGATAGCAATGATATAATGATGACATGT